TCCTCCCTTTCTTCCTTTCTCTCTCTCTCTTCCCTCTCTCTCTTTTTTCCTTTCTCCCTCTCTCTTTCTTTCTTTCAATCCACCAGATGCTCTGCTGGAGAAGGAGAGAGAATCTCCTTCTGTACTAGTCAGATCTGATTTGATGGTACACATACAAAAAATAATAAAATAAAAATAAAAACCACCCAAAAAGACACAGAACTATACCCACCGCCATCGAGTTGCTTCTGACTTAAAATATCCCTCTAGGACAGAGTAGCATGGCCCCATACTGTTTCTGAGGCAGTGACTTGACCCACCCCACATATTGTTCAATTGCTTCCTAGCTGTGTGAAGTTGAACAGTGAATAAGGAAGATGGAAGAATTGATGCCTTTGAATTGAGAAACATTGACCATACTGTGGCTTGTGAGGAATATGAACAAAAGTGTCTTAGAAGTGGTGCAACCAGGATGCCCCTTCTAGGCAAGGATGGTGTGATTCTGGGCACTTTACCAGGAGGAATCAATCCTTGGAGAAAGACACCTTCCTTGGTAATGAAAAAGGGTCAGCAAACCAGACCCTCAGTGAGATGGACTGGCACAACGAAGAAAGAGGTCTCAGAAGGGTGGTGGGCTCTAGTGAAAGGAAGTGCCCATGGCATTAATATGTGGTGATTCCTGTTCTAGGAAAATTTACGGCACCTCCATGTGCAACTCTTTGGAGATGTGGCCAATCCGTGTGCTAATCATCACCATCCTGTGTGTCTTCTTTGTCACTGGTGTGACTGGCAATGGCCTGGTCCTCTGGATGACCCTCTTCAGGTTACCTCGCACGGTCACTACCATCTGGTTCCTCAACCTGGCCCTTGCCGACTTCTCCGTCCTGCTGTCCCTGCCTATCCCTGTACATAACTTGATCCAAGGCCAGTGGTTCTTCGGTGCGTGGGGATGCAAATTCTACCAGGCCTTTTTGAATCTCAACTTCTTCACCAGCATCTATCTCCTGGTCCTCATCTCTGTGGACCGCTGCGTCTCCGTCCTCTACCCGATCTGGGCTCGGAACCACCGCACCGTTCGGAGAGCAAGCTGGCTGGCGGCTGGCGTGTGGCTTCTTGCTTCTCTCACCTCCATTCCCTACCTGATCTTCCGGACCACCGGCGTGCAGAAGGATGGTTGTAACTACTGTTACTTCAACTTCAATATAGAGAACAAAACAATGGACGCAGAGTGGAAGCGAGTGGTTATGACAAGACGCCTGTCGATGACGGTCGCTCACCTCCTGCTGGGCTTCCTGGTGCCCTTGGTGGTCATCAGCACCTGTGCCCATCTCATTCGGGTCAATTTCCCGCGGGGTGGCTGGGTCCATGCCAGGGGCACGAAGAGATTGCTGTTGGTGTTGGTGAGCACCTTCTTTGCCTGCTGGTTCCCATTCAACGTGGCTCTCTGCATCCAACTGTGGCGCTTCATGGTGTTTAGAAGGACCATTGACCCCCACATGTTGCTTTTCCTTTGGGGTGCCTTCTCTTTGAGCTGCCTGAACAGTTGCCTCAACCCCTTCCTCTATGTCCTCATAGGCAGAGATTTCCAAAAAAAGTTCTTCCAGTCCATACCTCATGCCTTGGCCAGAGTGTTTGGTGAGGAAGGGGTTCTCAATCTACCTGCCCTGGAGGCAGAGCCCCCAGGGCATGATGGAAACCTCCAGGTGGAAACTGGAAGCCCTTCTGCTTAGCCTGAGATTCTTTTACTGGGCTGACTTCCAAGACCCTCATAACCCTCTTCTTACAGGAAGTCTTCCTGGCATGCTCTCATCTAAATTTCCTCTGGACTAGCTCCTTATTCCATAGTATTTATTGTCCTTTTCATTTTGTTATTTTTGGTTTAGATGTTGTTGTTGCTGTTAGGCACTGTGGAGTCAAGTACAACTCACAGGAACCCTGTGAAGAGTCAACTTGAACCCTGCCGTAGCCTGTGCCAGCCTCATCATCTCTGACACATGGAGCCCATTGCTGAAGTCACAATGGCAATTCATCTCCTTGGGGTCTTCCTCTCCTTTCTGACTTTCCGTCTTTCCAAGCATGGTGTCCCTTTCTGAAGAAAAGCCTCACCTAGCTACATGTCCAAAGTGTGAAAGATGAAGTTTCAGGATTTGTTTGTTGTTTTTTTTAAGTAACAATTCTATTATCTTACGGAGCTCTGGTGCCTTAGTGGTAAGGACTTGTGCTGCCAACACCAAGGTACGTAGTTCGAATCCACCAGCGGCTCCATGGTAGAAAGATGGCCAATCAGCTCCTGTGTGATTTACAGTCTTTGAAAACCCACCTGGGGTTTGAGGGTCAGCTGTGGGCCTGTTCTGACTCAAAACAAAACCTCCCCAAACTTAAAAAGCTTAAAACAACCACCATTGAGTGAGAGAAGATCTTCACCCTGAAACCCACAGCGTCCCTTTTCAGCAGGAAGTAGCTAAGAGAATACGCCGTCCCCTTTTCCTTATGACTCAGGGTGAA